CTGTACCCATCGTAGTCCCCTGTGACCCCCCTTCCCCTCTTTACCCTTCCTGGTCCCCTGTGACCCCCTCAGCCCCCATCCTGGTCCCCTGTCACCCTCTTCACCTGTGACCCTCCCCTTTCCCTCTGCACCCATCCTGGTCCCCTGTGACCCACTCAGTCCCCATCCTCATCCCCTGTCACCCCCTTCCCCTGTGTCCCTCCCCTTTCCATTTGCACCCTTCCTGGTCCCCTGTGATCCCCTCAGCCCCATCCTCATCCCCTGTCACCCCCTTCCCCTGTGTCCCTCCCCTTTCCCTCTGCACCCTTCCTGGTCCCCTGTGACCCACTCAGTCCCCATCCTGTTCCCTTCTAACACCCCTTCCCCTCTACCCTTCCTGGTCCCGTCACCCCATCAGCCCCCATCCTAGTCCCCTGTCACACACCTTCCCCTGTGACCCTCCCCTTTCCTTCTGCACCCTTCCTGGTCCGCTGTGACCCCCCTGTCCATAAAATAATCTGACCCCACTATCCCTCATATACTGTGTCTTAACTAGTGATGGGCTCGGGACGAAGTGCCTCGTGCTGAGCCCGCCAGGAAGCTGTCAGTGTGCAGGGCCAATCGCAGGCACTGAGACATTTCCCGATCTCTGCAGCTGCGCACCGGGAAAATGTCTCAGTGCCTGTGATTGGCCCTGCCCATCCCCCTCCAACCACCACATATCCCGTGAACCCAAAAAACAAACGGTAAAGCACTTGGTTCTGATGTCCGTGTGTGACTGTCCTTGTTTTCTGGTCTTCTTCAGCCCGGAGGAAGCAGAAGTGGTCTATAGACCCCAGAAACAGCACCTGGAGCAAAGACGAAACCAAGTTCGGCCAGAAGATGCTGGAGAAGATGGGCTGGTCCAAGGGCAAGGTGAGCGGGCCCCATGAGGGGCCAAGCTTTGTTCCGACTGTACTACATAGTTACATAGTTACATAGTATTTGAGGTTGAATAAAGACACATGTCCATCAAGTCCAACCCATTGTGTGTGTGTGTGTGTGTGTGTGTGTGTGTGTGTGTGTAAAGATCCCCGAGTCATCTCGTTTTTAGGAGTACTTGTACCCCTGTATATTACCGTTTCTCAGGAAATCGTCCAAAAGCCTCTTGAATGATTCCAGACTATTAGCTGAAATCACTGCTTGCGGCAGTGAGTTCCAGACCCTAACCGCGCGAACTGAGAAGAATCCCCTACGCCCCTTGTGTTTGAATTTTTTTTCTACCAGTTTTAGGTGGTGTCCTCTAGTCTTTGTTACGGAATTAATCGTAAAGAGTTTATTGCTATGACTATGGAACATTTTGTACATGAAAATCATG